AGATAGGATCTCTTTCTTCCTCAGGGCTGTTCTGACCTGTGGAGTCGGAGCCCAGGCCCAGCTCTGGTTGCTGTGATAGCACAACTCAGTGCGAAGATAGTCTGGGAAGAAAAACCCACAAGGGTGGGTGATGGGATTAAGAATTTCGTTAGAGAGCAGGAGTCAGCAGGAGGGAATGAAGTCCTTTCTCCAGACTGCCACAGGCAATCTGGAGAAATAATCTTGTTTCCAGAATCTGATAAAACATGGATCCAGTCAGTGTGTGTGTGTGTGTGTGTGTGTGTGTGTGTGTGTGTGTGAGGCATCGCTGGTCTCCATGGAAATAGGAAGGACAGAAAACAAAGTGTCTTAGGTTCAGGATGTCTCATGTACCGTCAACACTAAATCTTGCAGATTGGAATGTGGCACAGGAAAGATTCTTGCTTGTTCATTTACTCATTCCTTCCCCAAGCCTGCAGGCGCCTGGCGTTTCAGGTACACAGGATGCAATGACGTGCAAACTGCCATAGTGGCTGCCCCCGCCCCGAATGCTCCAACCTAGTAGGGGAAACATTAATTCAAAGAATGCACAGATACCTCTGATACACAGCAGGGAGAGAGCGCCAGGGACCAGGAGACCCTGGAGCAAGGGCCCCGGTTAGTTCTGCAGGTCCTGGGACGGCATCCCTCGGGAAAAGCTGAGAGATGGATGATGAGTCGGGCTTAACCAGGGCAAGAGGGAGCAAGAGAAAGTCCTAGGAAGACACAAGAGCATGTGCGAAGCCCTGACCGGAAAGGAGCAGGGTGCACTGAGGAGCAGAGGCGTGCTGGGCCGCAGGGGCACACGGCAGGCTGGGGCGAGCTGCTCAGCCAGGTCACGGTCCCATTATGAGACAAGCAGAAGCCACTGAGAGCTGTGAGCAGGACGGGGCTTTTTGTTTCGAAAGGGCCTCCTGGTTTCTGTATGAAGAGTGGCTGAAGGGACAGGGGATGCGAGTCCAGAGCTGTCGCAGCGATGGTGGGCATCAGTGCGGGGGCTGGAGTAGTCCAGGGGTAAACATTAGAGCTGAGACATGATTCTTGGGAGACTGGGTGAAGGGTTTGCGGGAGAGAAGAGCATCAAGGATGACGAGGGACTTCTCACTGGGGCCGGGAAGCTGAGCCAGATTTTAGCAGGAGCCATCCGCAAGCCCACCTGCGTGAACGTCTTCATTCCAGGTCTGAAGCTGGGCGTCGGGGCTAGGGGTGAGAAAGGTGACCCTGGCCTTTAGTGAGCTCAGGACGCATTGGGGGAAACCTGAACTGTGGCTGGGGTCCCTCTGCGTGTCGGGGGAGAGAGACCGTAAATTGGTGCTACTGCTAGGGAGATACACAAATTCAATGTGGAGAGACACATCCAGAGACGTGGAGAGATACGGCCGAAAGTCCTGCTGAGAGGGTGGGAGCTGAGCAGAGACTTTAAGGGCTGACAGCGAAATGTGGGCGAAAGAGGACAATCCAGGGAGCAGGAAAAGAAACAAAATGTTGGAGTGTATAACAGTGGGATGACCCCAGGCCGTGCAAGGAGGGTGAGGCTACAGGCAGACACCACCTCCCTGCTGTCCTCCAGGACCACTGTCAGGGAGCTGAAGTGAGTGTGTTTAGTAAACCATGACTACAGTTTGCACTTAGTAGTGCACTTATTCCAGGGAGGCACCCACGCACCCTACAGATTCGTAGAATAATGATTTCAGATCCCTGTCTAATAGGGTCATAGGAGCCTCTGTCATAAAAGCCCCTGACGTTCGTATTGTTATCCCTATTTCTCAGGTGCAGAAACTAGGCTATTGTGGTGGAGATCCTGAGATGTTGCAGGCAAGAGCAGTAAGAAGCTAAGTCCAGAGAGTTGTGCTGGTTCCTGAGAGGGTACACAGGCTGGGGAGAGGAAGGGTCTGTGTCGCGGGCTGTCTTGAGTTCTGCAGCGGCTCAGCTGGCTCAGGGCTCCAGGTACAGTTGTGCAGGTTGGGCCAGGCCCAAAGACCGCCGGCCTGTGGGACTGAGTGGGGCTGAGCCAGCCCATCTGCACTCTGCATTTGGTCCCACACAGAGGCTCCTATGACCCTATTAGGCTTAGTCTCAGCTGCACCGAGGGCACTGAGCGGGCAGCCTCTGCCAGCCTTACTGGGCGTGGGGAGATCCCACAGGTGGGAGTCTGGCAGGGCACTGTGGAGCCAAGAGATGCCCAGTGAGTGTCAGTGAGAGTTTTATGTTGTCCTTGAGGGTGGCTTGTTCATAGGAAATCCAGCCAAGTCTATTTTGAACTTAAAAATGAATGCTTAATTTATAAAACTAACAAGTTTTGAAATCTAGTAAAACGTAATCGTTTCTTTAATAGGGCATTTCCCCTAAATAACTAAACTTAGATTATGAATAAAATAAACTAAGCTCAAAAGTATGATGACTGTTGGACTGTCATTACAGTTCCATCGCTGTTTACAAATTTTATTTTAAAAGTCTTGTATCTTTCAATTAGGTCTAACTTAGTTATTTCTTTACACGTTTTATTTTGGAATCACAAAACTAATTTGCTAGACATCCTAATATGCCAAATTATTTTAAACAGTGTAGGGACTTTCCATCTAAAACCTCACAGGTATTTCCTAAACTTAATATCAAAAAAGGTAATGTTTTGGATCTTAGTTCTAAACTTTCCCCTGATTAAAGACACTTACTCGTGAAGGACACAAGTTCACTAACCCAAGCAACACAGTATTGTATATTCAAGCCAGTTTGGGGTTAGCTCGCAGCTGGCCGATCGTCCTTAAGAAACAGAAATTGGGGTGCTGGCACGCAAGCCCCAAGAAAACACCCAAGGAAATGACTCTTGCCACCCACACTGTAGGGCCGACATTCTCATTAATCTCTGTCCCGTCCTGTCCATCGGGGAGGTTTTGCAGCCCAAACTCCCGGGATCAAGTTAGGCCCCATCACCTTCTTTTGTCCCCTGCCTCAACCTCCTCATCCCTTTAAGACAACCCCAGCCAGGTCACGCCTCACCTGATAGAATTCACCTAATCAATCTCCTGCTTGAATCCTGGCCTAACTAGCTTGTACTTCTCTGCTCTGGCCAGCCCCCAAGTATTAGAGCTATTTTAATGCCACCCCGTGATTCTGAATGCTTCTTCTGGCCTTGCCTGGCTCTGTCTACAAACACTCAGGTCCTATTGCCAGTAGCTGGCTTTCGTCACCTGGCAAGAGCAGAGGTGCTGTGCCACACTGGACGTGGGAGACACCCGGACCCTCTCTGACCTCCGAGACATCAGGAGGGAAGGGGGATAGTGGGTGCTCTCTGCTGAGAGATGTCAATCCCCCAGTAGCTAAGGTGCGAAATACAGCAAAAGTTTCTGGGTCAGGATGACACGTCAGAATAAAAACAGTCCCAGTGTGTGTAGAAAAATAATTATAGTGGTAAAATGGCACAAGGTGCACTTCGTACAGGGTCTCTAATCCGCATACATTTCTAAGTAAATATCAGTATACTCGATGAATAAAGGACAAACTTGAGGCCCACAGAGGCTAAACCTTATTGAGCCAAAAAAAAAAAAAAAAAAGTACTACAATAGAGGTCGTGTCGATTCAGCTTTCAGAAGCATAGTCCTAAAAGCTGATAGGAATTGTTTAAATGCTGACGTGATCTTGTGCTTAAAGGCCTGCCTCGACACAAAGCGTAAAGGGTACTTAGCAACTCCCGTGCGCCTACTCTGCCAGGCACTGTAGGGAACAGCACAGGCCCTGGGAGCAGGAGGACCCAGAATCTAGTGTCTGTGCGTGCCCCCTTTCCATCGCTTGCCCTGCCTGGACCTCAGTTATTTCATCTGACGAATAGGGAAGGGATAACAAACAAATTGGGACAATATACCTGCCGGCTTCCCAGGGTTGCTGGGTTGCTGCATGGCTGAGACAAGCTTTGAAAAGAAGTGATTTGGAGGGAGGAAGGTGCTGTAAGTGTGTAGGGACCTAAGACACGGGCCAGGTGGCCACTCTTGAGTGGTGACTTTCAGCCTGACACTCGAGGAAGAAGTGTGCATTCTAACTCAGGCTGAGCCAGTCTGACCTCGGCAGTGTTTGTCTTGGGTGGCAGTGACGTCACCTGCTCTCTGCTACGTGACTGGGCCAAGGGGCAGGCCGGTGTCCAGAGAAAGGCAGGTGGAGTAGCCCCGAGGACACTGGTGAGAGGCGTGGACTCTTGGCTGCAGAGATATCAGCCCGGGAGCCTTGGAGTCAGCAAGGGCAAGAGCCCAAGGAATGTAGAGGGAGCCAGAGTGGGGTAGAGTGAAGGGAACGAGGCCTCTTCACTGCTTACATGGGGAGTCCAGCCAGTTATCTACTAAAGGTGGGGTCAGTGGTGTTGGAGCAGACAACAATAGTTGTGTTGTCTTTAGGAATTTTAAAGCAATAATAAGAACAACCAAGAGCCTGTCTACTTTTTATTATCGATGCGCTCGCTGTTCTAACCTATGTGATGAAGCACATTCCCTTGCAGGGAAGGAGAGGAAGAGGGATATTCCCGCCTCTTTCCTGGCCTGCCATAGACCCCTGACCCGTCCCCTTAACAGGAGGACCAGGCAAGCTTGGAGGTCATGAGGACAAAGAAAGAGCTCTCTGGCCTACAGGGTCATCTGAGTGGGTGGGAGCAATCATCCCAGAGGAAAATGGGCCAGGGTGGAGTGTGGGATGGACAGACTGGGGGCGCCCACCAGAGGACTCTGAGTCCAGCACTGCTACAGTCACCTGGGTGCCACCCTCTGTGCCACGTGCAGGTTATAATCAATTGGCAAGCACATTGAATGACTGCCCCCCGCCCACCCGCCCACCCTGCGTTCTGTATGGAGAACATAGAAGGCAGATTCTCCTCCCAGCTCTCCATCAAAGCTGCCCTGCCCAGGGTCCACTAGACTGAGAATTCTCAGGCAATCTGTGCCCTGCCCTATCCCTGGCCCAAGCCCTGGCCCTCATAATGACCACCTTTCTCTCCTCTGCAGGAGCCAGGTGGAACCCACCAAGGATTCAACTAAGAATCAAGGTCATATAACCACAGAGCCAGACAAGGATCAAGGGCCTGTGGGTCTAGGGCCTCTGAAAGATCAAGGCCCTGTGATCCAAGAGCCTCCCAAGGATCAAGGTCCCGTGATCCCAGGGCCTCCGAAGGATCAAGGCCCCGTGATCCCAGGGCCTCCGAAGGATCAAGCTCCTGTGGTCCCAGGGCCTCTGAAGGATCTAGGGCCTGTGATCCCAGCACCAGTTAAGGATCAAGATCACGTGGCCCCTGAGCCTTTAAAGAATGAAGGTTCTGTGATCTCAGCATCAGTCAAGGACCAAGGCCCCCTGGCCCCAATGCCTCCAAAGAATCAAAGCCCCACAGTTCCAGCAAGAATCAAGGATCAAGTTTTCAATGTACCAGAGCCTCTGAAGGACAGTGGGCCTGAGGTCCCAGCATCTGTCAAGGACCAAGGCCCCACAGTACCAGAACATCTGAAGGACCAAAGAGCCATGATCATAGCACCTGTAAAGAATGAAGATCCTGTGCTCACTGAGCCCGTGAAGAGTCAAGGTGAAGGCCTGGAGCATCTGAAGGCTCGCGAGTCCATGGTTGTGGCTTCTGTGAAGAATGAAGGTCCTGTGATCCCAGCACTAGTCAAAGATCAAAGTCCCATGGTCCCAGAGCCTCCGAGGAGTCAAGGCCCTGTAGCCCCAGAACCTATGAAGAATCAAGTTCCCATAATCCCAGTGCCTGTGAAAGGTCAGGGTCCTCTGGTGCCACCAGCAGCAAAGGACGAAGGTGCTGTGGTCCCTGAACCTCTGAAGACTCAAGGTCCCAGGGGCCCTCAGCTGCCTACTGTCTCGCCCCCACCCCCAGTCATGATCCCCACCGCCCCCCATGCTGAATATATGGAGGGTTCCCCTTGATGCTCACCCCTTGACATGCCAAGAAAGGAGCTGGCAGTGAAAGTGCTCCCTCCAGGGGCAGCGAAGACACATATTTAATCTGCATGAAACATGTACCGTATAGTCTTGCTGGAATCTAATAAAACTGGTCCCTCTGGCTCAGCAAGGTCTCCCTCTGCCTCCTTTTGAGTGTGTGTGCGTGTGCACCAATGCCCACTTGTGGTCTGTATGTCTCTGGGCATGCAATGCACATTTCCAAGTGGGCATGAAGGACTCTGCATTCACCCACCTGGGCCAGAGGAGTCTGAAAAATCCCCAGCTCCTGTGAGTTGTCAATATGAGATGGGAGGACACAGAGGATGCTAGATGAAGGTCAGGACCCCACAGTGAGAATGCAGGCAGGACACATAAGGAAAAACCTGCACTTCTCCTTTACACTTGCACTCCCACCACACTTCCCTTCTGGCACAATGTGTGGGAGCAAGCACCTCTGGGACACCAGCTGGCTGTCCTATAACTATCTGCTATCTGCCTGGAGAAGCAGCAGGTCATATAGGTTGAAGGATCAGTACCATGAGACAGTCCCCCCAACTACAGATGTCAACCAAAAGGCCAGATTGGCCCTTGTATGTCTGGCCAAGTGGCTAGAAATTGGAATTTCCACAGTCCTATCCTTGGGTTCGGAACTTTGGGGAAACATGCTTACTGGTTTGTCTTGAAAGGGTCTGTTAAAGGATGATGGAAGAGATACACATGTATGGTCTGTCTGAACAGAAAGGCAAAGACCAATGCATACAGATTTCCCCCACTGTCCTAAAGTACCATGTTCCTATTTGATAGATTATTTTTGAATCTGGAAATGCTATCACTATTATTTTATATGGAAACAGTTGTTAGTTTTTTCCAATTTTCCTCAGTGCTGGGCATTGGAGTCACTGGTGAAAAGTCCCTTTCTTATGACAGTAACATGTGGCATGCGATGGGACCCTGAGGTAAATAAAGGTTTGGCTTTGAGAGGGCCCTGAAGCAGGGCACCTGGCGGCTCAATCAGGAAAGCCATGGGTCAGGCAAGCCTGAAAGGCCACTAGGGGTCTGCTGTGGACCCCTCTGAATCCTTGAAGGACAGGAACCTCGTTTGCACAAGGGCTGTGGTGAGTCCTGGGGCAGAAAACTGGAACCAAGCAGGGGTGGCCTGTTTTCTAAACCCCAGGACGTCAGTGCAAGTCAGGGGATCGGTCGTGTGGGCTATGTTGCGGGCATGTTGGGCAGCTCCCTGCAGACTGAAGCTCAGCCTCCGTCAGAGGTGGGTCCTGTTAAGATCCCAGTGTGGGCCACACTAATCTCCCCTTTGAAGTCCAGAGCCCTAGGTCCTGGGGCATAGGATGGGCACAAAAGCTCTGCCTGATGCCCCCACTAAACCTGGCTCCCAGGGAAAACTACTCATTTAAGACCGGGGTCCTTGGTATGAACACTCACCCCTTGTAAAGACGTTCTGGATTTTCTTGTTTTTTGTTTGTTTGTTTGTTTGTTTTAAGATTTATTCATTTATTCATACAGAACTGGGGTACAGGCCAGAGGTGCAGGGTCAGTGAGAGGATTCACCAGAGACAGAGTGGGGAGCCGAACAGGCCGACTGATGAAGTTCACTGATGAGGGGAGCAGCAGGCGGGTCAGGAGAGGTCTGCTGGGCCATGTGGTCACCTCCAGGGTGGGGATCAAACGCACTGAAGGGGCTGCAGCTAGCTTGCAGTGCTGCACTCTAACCCACTGCGCCACCAGGGACCAGTGATTTTCTTTTTTTTTTTTCCAGTGATTTTCTTTTAAGGCCTCCTTTAAAGGTTCTCAGCTAGGTTCTCACAGAGAAATCATTATAGAAAGTACTGATAACTTCCTGATAGTCCTGTTTTCTGAGTAACTAGCCCCAAGAATGCTTTTTACCCCACTCCCAATTGTACTCGAATCCACACACACACACAGACAGGCCTCTCCTGTCTCCCAGCTTCTCCCCTCAGCAGTGTATTTCAGTACATCTGCCTGTTCTTTCCCCAACCTCTCTGGTGAATCCTCTCCACCCACCCCTCGATCCCCCACACCTTTGGCCTGTACCCCAGTTCTTTATGCATAAAAAACCTTAACAACAACAACAAAAAAACACCCAACGTTACTCACCCCCTCATGGGTAAATGCCCAGCCAAACAAGGTTGGCCCAAAGCAGGACCACTGAGGCCCAAAAGCTGGCCACAAGTCTACGGCACCTTCTAGTGGGGACCCACAGGAAGGGGTGGAAGGGACACACAAGTCTCAAAGGAAAAACAAAGTCAAAAGTCAAGATAAAGGCCGCCATTGTAAGATCCCCACCCTCCACCCCAATCTCTGTCACTTTCATGTTTCCATCCAAAGTCCCCCGACTCCCTGGTAGAAGTCCAAGGCTGAGAAGCAAGCGCAGCTCCTCCACAGGTCTCCGCCCCTCCGCGCTGCCTAGTCTCCCTCATCCCATTTTTTTGTCCCCCAAGTTCTTTTCCCAGACTCTTCTAGGTCCTCCCGAGGCCCACTCCACTCCTTCTAGGCTGTGACGGGGAACCTCCCCTTTTACGGCTTACACCATGACATCCTGACATTACACATCCTAAAGCAGAAACCCTCAGGGGTGAACACCTGCCACCTGCCTCCCTCTTTACATCCTGTTCTCCCCAGCAGTGGAGAGGCCCAGGAAGGGGTCCCGGCAAGGAAAGGAGAGACGGAACTGGGCTCTCGTGGCCCTTCTCAGACGCTCGTCATCTGTGACCAGGCTATTCCCAGCTGCAGCCATTTCGCCTTCCCGGGCATCCATTATCTCCAACCGCGCCCTTTCCCTCCCGCAGAGCCGCGAGTCCAGATCAAGGCGGGCGGCCGCAAGGGCTGGGCGCGGCTAAGGAGGCTGGGGGCCCTCTCAGGATCACACTCGGGTGGTCGAGCGTTGAATCGGTATCCTAGACTCGGGCCCGAAGATGCCCACACTCCGTCCGCCCAGATGCCCCGAACCTGGCTCAGGGCTCGGGATCTCACTACCGGGGATCCGCCCTGCCCGGATCGCCGCGCCTCCCGGCCGCAGCGCGGGGCCGTCCAAGCCCTCGCACGCATTGCCATGCCCGCGGGGCCCAGGCAGGTGCCCCGACGTGGGCTGGGGGAGGAGGGCTCCAGAGCCGCAGCGGCCGGGGGTGCGCGGAGTCCGGAGCAGCGAGGTCCAACCCAGAGGACCAGCAGGGTGGCGGGCCACGCCCCCCACCGCCCCTCGCGCCCTGGAGAGGCTGGCGCCACCTGCAGGCCGTTTTCGGCAACCGCTCCGAGTGCTCGGAGGCACCCCGTAGTCCTGGTGGTGAGAGTTTATTTTTTGACTCACGCGCTGATGCCTTCACTTAATTAAACTGCCTGGCATCCTGCACCTTTTTAACCGCTGACATTTGGGGGGCAGCGAAAGGACAGCCCGTGTGGATTGAGGGTAAGCACTAGAAGCCAGGTGCGGTGATGGGTGGAGGGATCACCCAGAGCAAGGAGGTGGGGGGATATCTTGGTTAAGCCACTTCTCAGAAACGCGGAAACGCCCACCTTTCACTTCCATTTCTTGCTAAGATCAGTCCCATCTACCTGCTGAGTAAATAGTAAATCTGGCCCGCCCTCCCCCATCTCTAATGCCATCCCCTTTTACCGCACACGCACCACAATTTGTAATTACATCACAGCCCTCAGGTCGTAAGAAATGTGGCCTTTCGTTTTAATAAACTTAATAAAATTTCATTTTAATAAATCTAGCCGCAGCCCCTTCCATCACTGCCAGAGTGGCAGGAACTATGACATTAGTCACTTTCCTGGCGCCTCACCCCGGCTCTGGGGCTGGACACAATTCCAGGAACTTGGGGCACCTTGAAAGGACACGGAAGTCGTCACTAAGGCTGCCCCCAGCCAAAATCACAGGGCGCTGGTGGCCTCACCCTAGGCCAGGGAAAGCCTAAAGTCTGCCCAGAAGCTTCTGTTCAAACAGCTTCCTCAGTCACTCTTGTAGCAGACTCACAGCTGGGTCCATCCACTGAGAACCTGTAATCTAGCCCCTAACTCATACCCATTCAGCACAGGCCCCTTCCCCAAGTCAGTCTGTTACGGGGCAACCCACTGTGAACTGGGTGCCTGTCTGAGGGTCCTCACCCACACGCTTAAAATTCAGTTGTACTGCAGGCACACACAAAAAGGGTTAATAATGGGTTTATTTACAAAGGGGAGAGGAAAAGGTACAACCCAAGGAAAGAGAGTGAGATAGAGGGTAACTAGAATATCCTACCAGCTCCACTGACTTGGAACTCCAGTAACACATGGATAGCTCATCAAGAACCAAGTAATCAGCCACCAGCCAGTCAGTCCAGAGAGCAAGTCACACTGTCCAGAGAGAGAGAAAGAGCCATGAGGTTCAGAGAGAGAGAGAGAGAGTGTCTAAAATGGCTCCCTATATATCCCCGAAAGTCCCAGAATGCCTGCTTAGCTCTGCCCTTGAGTCCTCGCAGTTCTCTCCTTGGTATTGCTGGGAGTTGTAGTTTCCAATATCTGGAGTAGGGGATGGAGTCCAGAAAACTGGAGTAGGGTGTGGAGTCCACAGAACTCTATATAGAGTTCCTTCAAGACATCATTTCCCCCCTAACAAGTCCACTCTGCTCCTTCATCCTCCAAAGTGCCACACTTTAGCCCCTCTACCCTAGCCTGCCCTATTTAACAACCTCCATGGACTCAGACCTGACTTGGGGGGCGGGGTAGACAGAAGAAGAGGAGAGCACCAACTTCTATTTCCACCAGTAAGATATGAAAGTTCCCATCTCTTGTCACACTTGTAATTGTCCATCTTTTTATTATAGCAGTAATTTCTTTGCTTATTCCAAAACCTTCCATTTGCCCCCCTCCACACACAATAGGTATAACAACACCCCCTGTGGAGTGGTTGGATGTGAACACAGGAAGCAGCAGACTCAGCAGGAGGATGAGTTGAGTGTATGTTGAATGGGAGATGGCTGAGGGAATGCCAGGGAGGGGTGTTCAGGAGACTTCGGGATACAGTGGTCTCAGTTGGAGACAGGGATCTAGGATGAAGGCAGAGGTAGGTACATCATAGAAATGGGGTCTTACCCTCCTAGGGCAAGTAT